TTTCTTACACTAGCCCTCTACAACAATTCTCTTGTAACTTTTCAACTTGTCACCAGGTTTATAAAACTTTAAAGCTAGTGCTATAACAAACTGAAACAATGTTATTGCAGATGTAGGAGAGCATCTTGGGATGAATAAATTATAGGAGCCACAGAGAAATCACAACTATAACGGCTGGATGCTCTGAGCTGTCTACGGTGTGCAGATACACAGGAGGGAGCAGGTGTAGAACTGCACAGATCATAGGGCAGGAAAATTGAAACGTTATGAAGGGTAACCACCTCTTATTTCAAATGCATACAAAACTTCTGGTTGTTTTCCTTATTGAAATAGTTCATTAATGCTTGAAGGGAGTCTGAACTGTCTGGTACTAGAAAAATATGTCCCCAGAGATTCCTTAGAGAAAGAGAAGGCTACAGTTGGAAGTATTAACCTCTAGTCCCACCATGCAGCAAGTACAAAACACCCTGAACAGGCCAGTCCTCAGCTGTCTGTTGAAAGGACATGCAGGAGTGGAAGAAGACTTCCAACTCCTACTGGAGCCATTGGTACTGGATACCATCAGAATTGGATCCAAAGCAGGTTGGTTGAGCCAGACCATTAAAGTGATAGTGACTTTGGGCAGCATTCAGGCCACGTAGTGCAAGGACAGAAACCTGCATGCCGCTTCAGCTGCAGAAGGACTTGAGCTGCATGCTGCCAGCGCTCTTCATTCTCCTGGGTCAGAATTACTGCTAGACTCCTCAGTAACTTGAGTACCATACTAAGAGGTCTGAACATAGCACTGTCCAAGTATCACTATACACCAACAAGCATCTGTAAATACCTGCATGTTGTTTCACGCTTACCGCAATTCAACCATCTGTAGCAAAATGGCATTTACCAGGTAACTTATCCAGCCCATTTCCTATAAGGAGAGCTAGGAGGTACCATCCTTCCATTCTTTGCAGATCATCTGGGCTACTAAACATCATTATCAAGACATTCCTCCTTTCAGCCTGCCTTTAAAACCCCAACTCGCAAATTCGTACAGGATATGAAAAGACTCCAGCTAGGTCTTTCATCTTCATGGATCAGCACTTCCCATAAGGTCTGTCAGTCAAATGTGCCCTCCCCAATACCTATTTGGCCTGGCCCGTGGCATCCTTTCTTAGGCATTTCAATTGATGTCACTGATAGGGGCTCAGCAAATAATCCTTCTAATCACTGACAAGAACAGAGGCTGCAGCTCTGCGTTGCTTAGCAGGGCTAAGAGGAGTACACAGCAATAAAGCATTACTCTAGCAAGTGAGCTTGAAAATACGGCTGATCACACACAGGCATCAGCTGCGATGAATAAGAAGATGCCATTTTTTAAAAATAAGATCTGTAGTTTTGGTCCCTCATCATTGGGAGATCATTACAAAGCCAGTATTGCACCTATGAACATCCTGCATCCTGGCATGACTCCATCTTCTGAGCTGTACCATGGCACAGTATCTGGGCATGACCCTCACGGAGATGGAAATGCATCGACTTTGTATAGCAAGGCACCAGGACACACATAGCATGTACAGGCAGCTGCAAAGCATTCTGTATATCAGAGTATCTGGGAACTTCCAGCATAAAGACATAACTGTGTTGCCTTTGCCTGTATACACCAGGACTGAAATGCCACCACATCATCATTTGGGGAATACAGTTCCCATGAGACTGAAGGCAAGGAGTGCTCCTTAAATCATGGGAGGAGCTGTATTCCTCCACAGCACTGCATCCAGCTCGTCTCCTGTGGAAAACATCTTTTTGAATCATGCAACAGCTAGTCACTGACAGCACTTGTTCCCCACCATCACACAGCCAGCAGATGCCAAGAGTCCCAAGGAAAGGCATGGGAGAGCTAGGGGCTCTCCTCAACCTGCCCAGCCCCAGCACCAGAGCCATTGTTCTCAAAAGGATGTCTGAGGATTAATTAATTATCCTACAAGGGGCAGTAAGTAATAACACTCCTGGTGGAACAATAGAAGCTATTTGGTTGCCATGACAACGCAGCTTCACTTGTGTGCCTTTAATTTATTCATTGCACAGTCCTTTTCCCAATCACACAAGATGCCAAAAAATGTCTTGTTTTTCTTGCCAGTATCCATGTCCAGAGCAGGGGTAAGACACAGCCTTTTCCCCAGGGTCTCTCTCACACGGAAGAATGATGCACATAAAATCCCTTCAGCCTGGAAACTTACATCACATAAGAACTCTTTTCTCCTTAAATGTTTGTTCTGTAAGATGATTCTGATTTTTTAACCCCTTTTTGAAGCTGCCTCACCATGATGCTTATAGATCTTGATCTTGAGTAAGTTCTCACATATCGCCATTTTGTCCTCCATTCTGCCCCCCTCCCCACCCCAACATATGTAGGAAGGATGGGCAGGAAATTATGTTTATCAAGTCAAACAGGGAGCCAGGAGGGATAATCAAAAGCCCAGAAGTGACATGTATCCATAGTATCAAAAGGAGCATGGTATGGTCAGTGCCTGGTGCCCAGCCTGATTACAACTGTGCCACAACCATCAAAACACTCAATATCCCTCAATAGTACTGCCCAGTTTCTGCAAGAGCAGCATGTGGATGAAGGTCCACTCCAGGAAACCTACTCTCCCATGCACCCCACAGAGTTATTGTTGTTGTTGTATGCTCAGGGCCAGGGAGAAACACATTTGCCCCAGCCATCCTGTGACAGAGGGAAGCAGGTGTTCACTGGAGAGGGGAGAACATTGCATACACATGGCAAAGGTTGGAAAGTGTTGCTAAGAAAATGGCTACCAGCCGAGGACACAGCATGCCTGGCCACAGCTGCTCACAACAGGTGTATGACAAAGCACTTGGTCAGCCTTTATAGTCCATGGACACATCTCCAGCAGGAGGTTCATCCTGAGCCAGCCTCTGCAGTGCTCAGCTATCTTCTCAGCTCTACAGAGGAAGATCAGGGCAGTTGTTACCAGTAAGCTGAGAACAAAATCTCTCTCTCCCTCCCAGTTATGTTTGGGCAAACTGGGGTCTTAACCTACAGGTTCAGACCACAAATTGTTCATGCTGGCTCTGGTAAGGAGGGTGATGGCTGGTTCACCACATAAGAAAATTCAGGTCCAAGTAGAGACAGAGGGGAGAAGATAACTCAAAGTTGAGCTCTGTGCTGACAGGCAAGATAGACGGAACTAGGTTAAGCCATCTCGCTCTTCTAAGTTGAGCCTAACCTCAAGCACAGCTACCCAATGCAATGGGGACATAGGTCTGTACCTGAATTTCTAGCTGTCCAGTGTCATTGTTTCTAGACTGAGGTGTAACACTATGCAGCTAACTACGGTAATGGTGGGATGATAGCAGAGTCTGCAAAAGAAACTGTTCTATATGAGAACTTGAAGGTTCATGGTTGGCCCTTTACCGTGGGTCATATCAACATAGGTATTCAGGATTTTCAAGCAGTTTGGAAAGCATAACGACTAGTCAGATTGTCTCGCCTCCCCTCCTCCCCCTCATGCAACAGTAGAATAGCTGGTGGGCCAGAGAAACAGGGCAGGACAGTCCAGAAACAGATAAATAGGACAGGAGCATTGGGAGAGCAAGGTTTTAATTTACTTGAACAGCAAGAGCTCTAAAATGGCCTAGGATTCTTCTACATGTGTCAGGAACCAAGAAACAGGACAGCTGCTGCTAGGAGGCCCCCACCAGCCTTCCACTCCACTCAGCCTCTTGGAAAGCAGAAGAACTTGGAGGAAAAGCCTCTGGGCAGGAGGGAAGAAGGCAAGGTTAGTCAATGATCAGCGCAATCCATGTCCTCTGCTGGATGCTAAGGGGTTGTGAGAGACAGACAGCACAGGCCTGGATGTGTACCCAAACCATGACCAAAATAATTAACAAATTTCACCCCAAACCATTGCTATCTGAGCAGATAATTTTTTTCTTCTCAGTGGTATGAAAAGCTCCAGTCTATCAACGCCGCCAAAACCCAAATCTCCATTAGATGTGATGCTTCCCTTTCCAGTACAGATCTCCAAAGAAGGGCCAAATTATCACCAGCAAACATGAAAAGCCACTGACTGTTTTTCAACTTGGCAGGCACAGGCTGCCTGTAAAGCCACCACTGCCTTTGTGTCAACTGAAAAATACAATTCACATCTACTCTTTTAAAGTATAAGCGTTAATGGCTCGGAGAGGTGGCTGTGCAACCAGCACAGAAGTATAAGAGATGAGAATCTACTCTGGATAAGATGCCACTAGTTCCACAGATGTCAGCAGAGGTCCTCCATCCACATGTTCACAGATAACAACAGGGATACATCAGCGTGTGGGTACAGACACGCGTTAACCCTGCTAGAATCTACCCCACATTAGGAAGTGAACTCCAGTCTTTCGGTATGTCCAACCACATCACAAGTACTACCAGCAGCGGTAAGCGTGTACCACAGAGGTCCCACATGCCAGTCCTCTCTTGCAAGTGTTGTTTCAGTCCGGGGCTGGGCTGAGGCTGTGGGGACAACTGACAGTCAGTCCCAGTGACAGAGGCCACTCAGTGGGTAGAAGGAGCAAGGTTCAGACTGAAACTAATATACTGAGAAAGAAATTTGGAAAAAAACCCTCATTTCCTGCTGCCTAGTTAAGTGTTTGATTTGCTTTTTCATCACACCACACGTGGAAAAATCATCCTTGAATTCCTTATGCTTTTGTGAGGAATAATTCTGTCTCAAATCAGATTTCCCATCGCCCCTCACAACTCTGTCCAAAGTAGAAGAAAAAAACCAAACTTCTTCAGTACCAGATAAATGTCACTCTTCCTCCAACAACTTCCCAGCTGCAGGGAAGGTCTGTAATACCAGGTGAAGGTAGCAGGGGTGTGACTATCCTGCTTTTCAGAAGTGCACCCTGAGATCTCAAGTGGTTCCAAGGAACCGTTGTCTTGGAAGCACATTTGCACCAGAAAATGGAAGAATGGTTTATTAGGCTTTTTTTTTTTTTCTTTCTGGACTCACCATGTTGACTTCAGAGATCTGGTCAATGCTGGAGATATGGATGCTCATTCCCACTGTGACAGGGTTACCTGAAACACAAATGGACTGGATTAGGACCATATTCAAGCCCTCCTTCCTTATCTGCTATTAAAGAATTGCCTAGGAATGCATGGATATGACTTGAAGCAGCCTCACATTCCCCAAATATCAAGGATTTCCAAGTCACATGTGTTCAAATGATTAGAGAAGAGTAGATTTCTCTAACTCACCCCTAGGAGTAGAGCATACTAAGCTTGATTCTTTAATTCCTGGAAGTTAATTACCCCCTATACAATTATCTCCGATTATTCCAAATAATGCCTTCAGAGACAATCAGTAGCCTCCCAGTGGGCTTGCATAAGGTGTTACTGATTGACCATACAAAGAACATAGCAATCAATCCCATGCAACACATGGGAAGATACTCCAGCTCATTCCTCCATCATTCCATCAGCTCTGAGTGCTCAGTCTGAAAAGCCGAAGATACCAGACAAGTACAGGAACCAGATCTATGAACTGAGAAAGCAGCATTTATATAGTGGCTTTTCAGAGCAGAGCAGCGCAGCGCTTGGATTAGAGAACAGATTCCCCATTTTACCATGGGCATCAGGACACACGTCCCCTGCATCCTCTTACCTGTAGCCATAGAGCTATGGTAGACAGCTGTGCGCAGGTTTACTAGAAAATTCAGATATTCCCTTACCCAGTGACGAAGCTACCCTCATGTCACAGTAAGTGCCACTGACTGCAGCATGCAAGATGAGCTTGTGAAGAAAATCACACAAGGGCAGTCACAGCCAGACCTATTGTCCACGCTTGCCCAAGTGCAGCAAGAGCTGTATTACCGCTTCCCATAAACATAGAATCAGGGCATAAACTAGCTATTTCAGCCAGTTCTTCCAGATGTGTGGTCATCCCAGCTAGATCCAGATTCATACCCAGTTCTACCTAAGCCCCTCTGACTAGAGCTCCCACAGCCAGGCAACAGGACAGCCCTTTCAGTGGGATTTAAGCCACATAAAACAACTTGCAGAGAGACACACATCCACCACCAAAACCAGCGAAAAACCTCCTGTAGCTTGAGATGGGGTTTCCAAGTGCTACCCTCCCCTGTCATCCCCACAGCTCTGACACTAGAGCACAAACACAATCCCACCACAAGTAAAGACCCTTTTTGCACACGTGCAAGGTGGAAAATGATTTCTTGCAACGCAACACTAGAAAGGGAATGGCAAGCAGTTATGCCACTCAAGGTATTAACTCTTCCATGGACTCATTAGTAGATCTAAGTGCTGAAATATGTACAGACAATCATGAAATGGCTTAGAAAGCAATTAGGAGACTGGGGGAGAGGGGAGAACCACACAACTGGAAATGAAGTGATTTTTTAATTATGTGTTACCAGAAGTAGGGAAGTAGTGTCATTAGGGCTGCCTTGTGATTGGGTGTACTGTTAACCAAGACCCTCTGCTGCAAATTAAGCCACATTATCCTTTAATGGAATATGAACAACACCGAAAACATCAGAATCAACAACTGTAATTAGGCCCTGCTATGCACATCTCCTTAAAGAGGCAGTGTTCTTCTCCAGTACTCCTGGCTTGTTGTCAGGGATGCTGGAGGCAGGGGTGCTCAGGAAACCTTGCAGAGCCTCTGAAAATCCCTACACAGGCACACTCCTAGCCATATCTTTGCTATACCGCTATGTTCATCTTTCACAAGGGAATCAGGTGGGAAAATAACCAAGAGTCACTCCAGGGAGAGCCGATTCTTCTGCATCCTCCCTTGTGCCAGAGGCTGACAGTGGCACAGGAAAGCTTTTAAGGAAGTCTCGCTTTGGTAGTTTGTCTTTTTTCTGAAACCAGGCCCTCGTGATAGAAGCCATATTAGGAGGAGGAAGTCACCCCTGCCCTGGGGATCTTACAGACTAATTGGTTACAGGAGGAAAGATGGGATGATGCGCAGGGCTGCAGCAGAGTTGGGGAGAAGCCAGCTCCCAATTCCTGAGCCTTTCCGTCATGCAGTGTTTTTTTCCTCCAAGAGTTGCCCTACTGCCTGCTTTGCTTCCAGTCTGTCACCACCAGTACTTGTGTCACTGTGGTTATGTGTCCCCTCGTTCCCCAGTGCAAAAAGTGTTTCTTCCCGCTGTTGTGTAACAGAGACCCACTGAAACTAGCAGTCTGGGTGGTTATAGCAGAGGAGCACTGACAGTGGTGATATACAAATATTTGTCAAATACAGAGTCTATCCAATCTAATCTATCTGTCCAGACATTTGTGCTGTGTTCATCACCATGGTATCTGACTGCCTGAGGTCATGCAGTGACTCAGTGTCAGAGCTGTGGATAAGATCCAGACCTCCCGACTCCCAGCTCCAAGATGAACATTGGAGTGGAGATCAGCCACGCCGCTCCCCATCAGCCTGGGCTCAGCTGTACCCAGCTCCCATGCACAGTCAGCAGTCTTTCTCTTGGCCACTCTAGGCACTGCCAAGGCCTCTACACCCCATCTACCACAGCAAGTGGGAGACTCCACTGCCCACTTGCAACCCCTGGGGTGTGTGCCCATCAACTCACAAGCAGAAGCATGTGATTGTCATACAAACACTCCAAAGATGAAGATATGCAAAGTTGTGCCTTTACTGGACCTACTCTTAGCTTGATCACTGGGAAGCCATTTCATTTTCTCCATCCCTGTTATGAAGACTGGCTCACAGTTTCCTCGGGACAAGGATGCAAGAGAATGTACACAGCCAACAGAAAAAGCATGCCCGACCTCTTACTGCAGCTCAGCGAAAAACTAGACCGGCTGGTGTCCAACTTTCAGGCTGTAAGTAGTACACAAAATAAACAAAGGACATCAATTGTGCCAATGTTCATAGCTTCAGGCAAGAGGGATACAAAAGTAGGGTATTTAAAATATGGGATAACGTCATCTGTAAATTTGTCCAAAAAGGCAGAACTCTGCATTTATGGATCTGAGACAAGGCAAAAGAATCAAACCTGATATTAAAGATCCATGCTTTTATCTGTGCCTTGCCAATGGGTGCAAAAACCCAGACCATCTCCCCTTAAAGAAAAACCTTACACCTAGAAAAGATTTGTAGGCAAGATCACGAGTGAGGGGGGAGTGAGAGAAATTCTGCCATTTTCACCAGTGAACAGCACCCTCACATGCACCCATTTCTCACCACCACTGGAGAAATCACCAACATTTTGTCCTGAAAGTAGTTGGATGTCTGTGAAAAATGTACTTGGGAAATTGGAAGGGAAGCAGGCAAAAGAGTTATAATAAAACATGTCCTTTTCCTGCAAGTGATACTTGTCAAATACAAAAACAGTCAAGGTAGAGAACAAGTTGTGCTAATCTGCAATATTTTCCCAGCAACCAGTTATTATTTTTACATTTTATTTTATAGTGCTTAAAAGCCCCAGAACCTAGAGCCGTATTTCTACAGAAGTAATTCCTATGGCACAACTGCAGAAGAAATATCATGTTTCCAAGCCTGTGTCTGCCTGCGCTACAGCCAGAGCTGATGGCAGCCTGGTTCAGGACATCTCTTCCAGATCTCAGCCTAGTACTTCAGCTGTAGAGAGCAGCAAAGACAATAGCACAATATTTAGTGTAATAGGTCTCCAGACAGTTGATGCTTACTTGGGCAACTGCCCTGTACTAAGGTCCAAGCTGCCCTCTCTTCACTCCTACCCAAGAAAGTTAGACTAGAGCAAGCTTGGGTTTCTCTGCTATCAGATCTCCAACTGCAATACAGACACAGCCAAAAAAACTCAAAAACAGTGGGCAGATACACAGAACTTTATTATGCGCTGAAGCCACGCCATTTTTATGAACTACAGCCAATGCTTTGAGAAGTCTGCTTCGCGTGTTTCTGACCACGTGAACTTGGCAATACCGGCAGAGCCAAGGCTTACGGTTGCTAAGGGACAGGCATCAGTCTTAAACCTACCCTTTAGCCTGAACTACAGGAGCAAAGGCACTAACAGGGATCCTGGGAGGCTGCACAGCCCATATCTTTCATGGAAGCAGAACAGAGTTTCTCTAAAATACCAGTGTTAGAAATGCCACAGTTCCCCCAGACAATCTCTTCCTGCATTTCACTGCACTGAAGGCTTTTCCTAAATATCCAAACCAAACCTCTGCAGTGTAAATGTAGTTTTACCTCACCATTTCCCCCCACGATAGCGAAAGAATAGATCATTCTTCCCTAACAACAGCTTTTCTGTACTGAGAAACCATGACATTCCTCTCACTCCCCCCCAATACTGTCTTGCCTAGATTAAATGCACCTGATTTCTTCAACCTCTCCTCAGAGGTCATGTTTTCTAAAGCTCTGACAATTAGTGTTGATCTCCTCTGGCCTTTTGCCAATTTGTCTACATCTCTACTTTAAAAGCATGGTATCCAGAAAACAGCCACTGAAGCAAAGATGACATGTCACTAGTACAGAGAAAACAAAAAGCAACTTCCCATATGCAGCATTTTCATAAAGCCACAGAGGCGTGTCCAAACCCACTGCACCCATCCTGGGAGCTGCTCGCTTTGTGTAGGAGGTTAGAGATGTACAAGGGGCAGCCTAGCTCTTACCATTAGAGTGCATCATGCATGCAGGAAGAGGGAGTACAGCTCTGTCTCTTTTGGACAAGAGGAAAGATTATTCAAGACAGCTTTGTGCATGAGCCCCAGCGTTCCCTGCTTGCACCCTGCCTGTGGCATCATCAGTCTCTGAGATCCCTGCAGCAGCATGAAAGCTGCTTTAAGGTCTTCTGCTGAGTAAACAAAGCCAACCAGAGAAAATTAGAGGCTTCAGCCACTAAAACTACATATAGAACAGGTCTGTGCCTTACACTGCAATGGTAAATGCCCACAGGCATAAGACTCCATCCATACAAAGCCCTGCTCCTCATTCCCAGCTCTTCAGCAGCTGGAGGACAGCAGTGGCAATAGAGCCCAGAAACAGCAAGTCCCAGAGAAAGTTGCCCTGCACTGGCTAGCAGAACTGTTTTTGCAAATGCAGGGTGATACGGGTAGGCATG